TCTGCACACTTTTCAGTGGTTCTGTAGGCCGAAGGCTTTTTTACCTTCTTCCATTCTATGCATGAAGGTAAATAACTTTTAGTGTGTAGCTCCCACCCCCTCTTATACTTACCTGAGCCCAAACCTGATCCAGCAATGTGCATGAGAGCAAGGGCTCTACTGGGACTCACTCTCCTCATTGGCTGAGACACAGCTGCCGGAGCCATTGTGATTTTAGTGCAGTACAGAAAGTTATCAGCTCACAAGACATCAGGTAGGAATGTATTGCATAGATATACAGTAACAACCACAGCCATTGTGCGGCGGGGCAACTCAGACACGCTCTGTGTGTCCCATTGACACAGAAGTGGCTCGAGAGCGAGCATGCACAAGTGCTCCCAGAGCAAGACGCTTACGTGGCAAGCGGAAGCGGCCAGAAGCACAGGGTAGGGGCTGCTCTATGCTAAAACATTACACAGAACAGGCAAGTATGTTTATTATTTCAAAGAAAAAAAAAACCCCAAGCCATTAGAATCACTTTACTGTATAGAGGTTTTTCCCCTCCCTCATGTGCTGGCAGCGCCAGGGTCTTCTAAGGCTGGCAATAGACAGGTAGCTCCCCCCCATTATAGGCCAGCGGGCTGAAGGGGAAAAGAACAGATTTCTCCATCCACACAGTTGATATGGATGGAGGAATCCTCCGCGCTTGAATATTGTATTTTGACAGCAGGGACTTTCCACTGTCAGAATATACTGATCAGTAACCGATAAAAGAAAAAAAAACAATCCTATTCAACAGAGGTCAATGCAACCAGTGGCCACACATGGCTCTAAATGTGGCCAGTCCCTGCTAAACTCTGCTGTAAGGGCAGCTTAAAGCGGCGCTCCACTCACCCTGTCAAAAAATAAAAGTTAGCAGCTACAAAAACTGTAGGTGCTGACTTTTAAAAAACAGCCACTCACCTTTCCCATGATCCCGTGTTGCCCCCGCCACAGCCCGTTTCACCGGTCGTCCTGTATTCCAGGTGCTGGCATCTTCAGTGTGGGCACCCGGCTGTGACAGCTTGCAGCTAGCGCTGCGCTTCATGAATGGTCCTGTAGTCTTCTGGGACCTGTCACATGTCCCAAAACACTACAGGGAGGGAGGACACCTGCTTCCGGTCGCCTAGGCGAAGGGACAAGAAGTGGGAGCGGGTACCTGTCACATTTAGGTACCCGCTCCCTCCCGCCCCCCACAGGTGCCAATCCTTAATGGGGAGCAGTCATTAAAGCAGAACTTTCCCTTTTGGGTGGAGCTCCGCTTTAAGTGTGTCTACATCACTTTATTGAAGCCTTCGGTTATTCAGGGCCGAGATGTCAGCCATCTGTCATTTCTGCCATGATGCCCTTTATCTTGGTGTTAGCTCTGTGAGTGTATGGTGTACTCTGTGTATTAGGGGTTATAGCTGCATCCAGCCAGACCATGATCTGTAGGCGTAGAATCATGATGTGTCCTGGAATGACCAGGCACATCCCAGCGTGTCAGACAGTACATTTAAATATATGTGCAATATATTATGCAGGATTATAGAACAACAAATATGAATATATTTCCCACAATGCCACATAAAAAAAAATAAAGTTCAGTAACAATACAAGTCAGTTCAGAGGGGAAAAAAAATCTCAAACTCTCTACATACAGTGTGTGTTGTGTGTGTGTGTGTGTGTGTGTGTGTGTGGGGGGGGGGGGGTCCTAGTGACACACACCTCTCCCCTAGGTAGGCCCTGTAGTAGCAGAAGTCGTCTCAGCATTCCCCACCTCCCTGTGTGTGAGGAGGAGTAGTAACCAATAGCAACCACATTTCCTCCTCTAGCCCGATAGCTGTGCATTAGCTCCTCCCCCTGGCCCGTCTCACACAGACTCCTGTCCCTCCTTTACCGAATTATCTCTCCCGCTCGTCTCCGTCCTTTCCCCCGATCTTCTCCAGCTGCCGCCGTTTGAATTTTCGCGCTTTGCGGCACGTCCTGTCAAGTGACCGAGCAAACCAATGGCGGCCCGCCTGCGTTCTATGTCGTTGCTAGCCCTACCAATGGTTGAACGGTTCACCGCGTCTCCCCATCAGCAGCCAATCGGCGCACGGCCATTTGGGGAAGCAGCAGCTGGGGCCAATGGCGGGACGGAGTCTGGGTGTCCCATGGGACTGCAGCCAATGAGAGGGAGAGCTAGCAGCGAAGTGGGGCGGAGGCAGAGGAGACAGCCGGGAGATTTGTGTGATGAGGCGGGTTGTTTGTCATAGAAATCAATCAATCCGGTGTTTCCAGAGGGGCGGGATCTCTTTGTATGCTGCGGGAACTACCGATCCATTGTACACACATGGACTCTCTAAGGAACTGAGGCGGGGTGATATCACCCATAGCAACCAGAACAGGCAGCAGGTATCACCCATAGGCTTTGTACTACCCATAGCAGTGGGCGGAGATCCCCTCTCAGTTGGTGTCCCCATTGTTAGCTTTCCCCTTACTTCCTTTTCTGGTGACAACTGTACAATGTTGGATGTTAGCAGTCCCCAGAAAAGTGATTCTCCCCAATGGGGTCACACACAGCAATAAAACCCTGGCAAAGCTTGTAACCCTTTCACACTCCATCTATCTAAAGAAAAAAAAAACCATTGGCATTAGGTAGGCTTTAATGTTTCATGTTTTTCAGATTTGGGACTTGCTTTGAACAGTTAGCCGTCACCTTCCTGCAGCCACTGGGTATTGGATCTGTGTATAACCCATCCTCCGCACCATCTCACCATGTGGTTCCCACCTGGCCAGGATCTGAGTGTTCATGCCTGCCAAGAAGCGGACGGCTTGTAACCCGCGGAAAGGACGCCTGATCTTTCTGGAGAGCCCACAGCAGGGGCCCATTCATGAGTATGGCACGGCTCCACCCAAGGCAGAAAACCCCATGTGTGCGCCCACCAAGCCCTTGGATGACCACGCGTCCACGTCTTGGGTAAATCTACACTGGGCATACGGAGGAAAATAGAATGTTTGTTTTGTATAGAGTAGGGGACTAATGACTACACAGAGAGGACTACTAGTTTCCAGGTTGTTTTTAAGGGGCCCTGAAGGGCATAAGTGCAGCTGTGGAGAGATTTCCTCTCTCTTCCTCTTGTGGCTTCAAGAATAGAAGTGAAGGGAAATCTTCCCAAAGGAACGCAGACAGCAAATAAAAAGCTAACCTGTTTTAACCCTTTTTTTAAAGGAGAAGTTCGCCTTTGGGAACATGTTACATGTTCCACCTGGTTTTAGGGTGGAACATGTAACATCCCTATACTGGATGAGGGTGCATGTCCCTGAGCACCAATTAGCCAATTAATAAATATAAGATGTAATCTTTATTAGGATTTTTATAAAAAAATGTATATACTGAACTGTATTCAATTCAAAACCTTATAGACTGGAATGCACTGCGCTACAATCTCAATTATTAGCCAGTAGACTCATCCGCTGCATCCAAATGGTTGTCAGCATCAAGCCAAGTTAAATTACATACCGTTTTTGGATGAAGTTGTGACTAAAACAATTGTTGTTTGATCATATGCCTATCAGGTAAGATATATACACTCTCCACTGAAGAAATGAAGTTCCCCCAGGAAAGAACTCAATAGGTAATATGATCTATCTTGTTACAGATATGGAATATGGGTACACTCGTCCATGGGCCTCAATACAAGCCTCTAATGGACAAACCCCATACATCACCATATCCAGTCAAAAATACCTCACAATCTTGGGGAATGCAATGGTTTCCAGGGTTCTGCAGACAAAAATAATAAATGCACATTTTCTTTTACCTACAAAAAAAAAAAATGTCTGGCTCAGGACCTGCTGACAAAATCCTGCTGTAGCCATTGACAACACAGGTGTGCACCTCTTACCCGAAACAGGCTAGGTGATGTATGTGTACGTGATCCAGTTTGCCTGTGCTGTCCGCCTGCAGTAAGTGTACTGTGGGCAGGCAGAAACAGGTTAAGAAAAAAGTCATATTCTGGGCATCCTCTGCAACAAAAATGTTAGTTTTGGTGAGATGCTCCCAAAGGGTTAATCTTATCTAAAGGGATTCAGACCCTGCCACTTTCCTCATTAGAGCCCTGCAAGTGCAGCAGCTGCTCAGTAATGAAAACGTCACTCCCATTTACATTCACTCTACACATGGACAAAAATAAATAAACGGATTTCTTCAGAGTGACAAAGTTTGTTTAAAAATCCTTGCAATGTACATAGATCACCCAGATGGGAATGTTTCTTCAACAAAAGTGAAGTTACCTTTTAACCACCTGCCGACCGCAGATAGCCGAATGATGGCTACACTGCAGCTGGCCAGTTCTGGGAAAGCGTCATATGACGTCCTCCCAGAATGCACTCTCCTATGCGCCTCCGGCGTTCTCCATGATCGCTGTGTCCTACGGACACAGCTGATCACGTGATGTGGTAAAAGGCCAATTACAGCGGCCTTTTACCACGTGATCAGCCGTGTCCAATGACGCTGATCACCGGGAAATGCAATTGCCGGTTCTCGGCTGCACTTTCCTCATGCTGTCAGAGCGTGAGGAAAGTGCTGCCGAGAACCGGCAGTTGTCAGAGCAGGGATCGGCACACGATCATCAGGGCACTGATGATCAATGCCCAGCAGTGCCACCCACCAGTTCTGCCTACCTGTGCCCACCAGTGCCACCCACCTGTGCCCATTAGTGCAGCCCAGCGGTTGTGCCAGTCAGTGCCCAGCGGTTGTGCCAGTCAGTGCCCAGCGGTTGTGCCAGTCAATGCCTAGCAGTGCCGCCAGTCAGTGCCCAGCGGTGATGCCAGTCAGTGCCACCTATCAATGCTGCCTATCCGTGACACCTCATTAGTGCTGCCTATCAGTGCCGCCTATCTGTGCCACCTCATTAGTGCTGCCTATCAGTTCCCATCTGTGCTGCCTATCAGTGCCACCTATTAGTGCCCATCAGTGCTGCCTCATCAACGCACATCAGTGAAGGAGAAAAATTACCTGTTTGAAATATTTTATAATAGAAACAAAGAAACTTTTTTTTTTTTCAAACTTTTTGCACATTTTTTTGTTTATAGCGCAAAAAGTAAAGTGCCCAGCGGCAATTAACTACCACCAAAAGAAAGCTCTATTTGTGAGAAAAAAATGATAAAAATGTCATGTGGGTACAATCTTGCATAACCGCGCAATTGTCATTCAAAGTGAGACAGCGCTGAAAGCTGAGAATTGGCCTGGTAAAGAAGGGGGTATAAGTACCCGGTAGGCAAGTGGTTAACGTGGTTCTAAAATCAAAAATTTTCTAGCTGAAAGCATTGCCTGCATTCAAATGTAAATAAAGGCAAATTTTTTTTTTTTTTTTTCATGTTGGATAGAGTAAGAAAGGGTTATAACTCCTGTCATATTATTATTAGTATTATATATATATATATATATATATATATATATATATATATATATATAATATTATATTTTATATACTTTTTTTTTTTTTTTTTTTTTGCCATCTGTGTCCTGTTGGGAAGATTTTCCTTCAATTCCTGTTCCATACTCAAACCATGAAGTAAGAGGGAAACCTGGGGTGTCGCCTGAACTAGTGTCTCCATTGGAAGATTTCACCTCTACTTCTCTTCTGGATGACAACCCAAAGCTTAGGACTTTCTTTTACTTTCACTTTTGATGATGGCTGTAAACAGAACACAGGGTGAATCTATAACGGGGGACATAGACAGCAATACAAACCTGACAGGTGTTCTAATCCCTATCCAAAACAAATGTTGCCTTTAGTTACACATTATGGTAAAAAATGCCCTGCTATCTTTTCTTCCCACCCCATGCCTGTATAGTTTGCAGACTCCTCTCACCGATTGAGTGTTGTCCTGGCTGCAGCACTGCTCCTCTCAATTTCTGGTCTCACAGGAGACCCAAAGAGCAGCGGGATCCATAGGCTTCCACTGCTGTCAGCCAAACTGCAGTGTGGAGGGAGCGGGTGTACGGTATACTGGTGCTGTGTGTTTATGGACGCACACAACCCAGATCTGAAGTGCATGTGCAAGGGTGCTTCCATGACGCCCAGCTTAAAGCGGAGTTCCACTCAAAAGTGGAAGCTCCGCTTCTTTGCATGCTGGTAGTCCCACTCATGTCAATTTTACATCTGTTGGCATTTGGGGACCCACAGCCCAACAATAGCAGATTGGGAGCAGCGACTCTGTCCATGCAGCTGCTGCATCCCAATTGACATGACCGGGACTGCTTGCATGCAGATGCACAGAACACCTGTGCATCCCGTGAGGGCAAACAGGGCCCTCTCATAGGTGTACATTTTAGTATGCCCTTGTAATGAGGCCTTAACCTCTTCCCGTCCGGCCCATGTTGATAAACTGCCGGATGGGAGTGCTGCCGATGCGAGTGGACGTTTCTCAATGTCCCCTCGCATCCATTGCCTGTGCACGCTCCCTGGGAGCGTGCGGCAGCAATCAGTGCCACTGTGTCCGGAAGACACAGCAGAACACAGATTGCTGTACGGGATCTCTGTATGAGGTCCCAATTCATGTGATCACTGATTGGCCAATCAGTGATCACATGAATAATAGTAAACAAGATGTCACTTCCTGACATTATTGCTTACTACTAGTGAAATCTGTGAATGATCACAGAGGTCACATGGTACAAGGCTATTCACAACAGCCTTGTACCATGTGACAAGCTGTGACCAGTCACAGCTCGCACAGTAATTTCTCAATGGCTGCAGGAATGCAGCCAGAGAGAAGGAGACATTATTGCTTTTACAGCCTTTATGGGTAAAAGCAATCGGTGTAAAAAAAGAAAAAAAAAATCTTCCTCACCCCCCCACAAGTAATACAGTGTCACTATTGTACTGCTAGGGTGACAGTATGTTAAAAAAAAAAACATATTTAATAATGTAAAACAAAAATTTAAAAATGTTATCATTTTTGGTTATAAACTAGTTTGGGTTATTTTTTTTACTAAAAAGATATTCGAATACATTTTGGCAAGATTTATGAAGAGAGATTATTTATTTGAAAAATTTTATGAGTAAAACACTTTTTTTTCTTTTTTTTTTTTTTTCAAAATGTTTGGACTTTTTCATTTATATAGCCAAAAAATAAAAATCCCAGTGGTGACTTAATACCACCAAAATAAAGTTTTATCTGTCTCAAAAGAAATGCTAAAAAATTCATATGGGTACAGTGTTGCATGACCACGCAATTGTCATTCAATGTGTGATAGCGCTGAAAATTGGCCTGGACTGGAAGGGGGTGAAAGTGTCCGGACATGAAGTGGTTAAGCATACAGTTTATGGGGTAGTAAAGCTGGGATGGAATGCCTCTGTATACGAACCTGTACTTTCAGGTCTCTTTGCTGGCTGTCCAATGACTGACTATATCCCTCTCTCACACACAGGTGTCTCCACAATTTGATCCAACTGTAGAACTGCATTTCCCAGCACGACGTCATCTCCGCCACACATCCTCCAACAGCACTTTACAGAGCCGCCCTGGTGACACGAGTCGGAACACGCTCAGAGTGCCAACAAGGAAACCGAGTGTCTGTAAATTCCCTTCACTATCATTCACCAGTCAGAGCACAACTAATGTAATACAAACTCAGTCATTACAAGCCTGCCAGATATACAGACTCCAGATAAAAGTCCGACACGAACAAATCCCTGGTGCCTGCTACAGCTGACCTGCCAACTCCGGTCTCCAGGAGAGAGAGACCACACAGGGTGCAGCCAACACACCCCAGGGGAATGCGCAGGTGCTGGCAGAGGATACTCCAGAGCATGAGTACGGGGTCCGTGTAAACATGGAGGAGACGGCAGGGACTAATGAAATACTTGAAATCGAGGGGCAGGCTACAAAGCAGCAGATCAAGGGTGAAGCTGTAAGATTCGGACTTCTGTTTGTAAATAGAACTCATGATATTCTAGCGATGAAATGACAAATGTTAATAGAAAATTATATTAAATTTATGAATGCACATGATTCCTATACTGACTGATGCAGATGTCTTCTATCCAGTAGCCGTTAACTTCCAAGTAAGGCGCCATCAAAATCTGCCTTTGAAATGGTTTTCAGAATTCTCATTGCTCAACTTTCATTTATGCAAATGTTTAGGTTATTGGCTGTCTTGATGTTTGGTTCTTTTTTCATAGTATTATTAAACCCACAACAGTAACATCAGTTTGTATATGTAGAGCATGCTTGATATAGTCACTGTGGAACCTAAGGGGTTAATGCTCTGCGTTGTGTAAAAAAACGCTGTTTAATCCTGACTTTCTGTTCCTCCCCTTCTTCCAGTGCCCCCCTCTTATCTTCATGATAAGAAATATTGTCTGGAGACACTCTGCACATGCTCAGTTTGGTGTGTATTGCTAGAGAGGTGTTTTTTTTTTGAGAGAGAGTGCATGTGATCAGCACAGGGCCAATCGGCACTGTCCAGACTGAAGTCCAGGGTTTTGCATCCTCCTAGAGCTGAAAAAAAGAACTCCTCCTACAAGCTTTAACCAGTGTTTGCTGAACACTGATAGAAGTCACAAGACTGCTCTGACTGCCGATGAGAAAAGGTATTTAGCAGTTTATATTTACTAAAATAATTGCTCATTTCCATGTTGTGTGTACTGTGGGAGACCAGATATAGTGAATGCAGGGTCCTGGGTTTAGTAACACTTTAAGGTTAAGCACATTTATCCTTTTTGTCATTGACTTAACTTCTCCTTTCCTCACCATTCTCCTAGTCTCCATTTGTAATGATAGATGTGACCAGCGCTCTCAAAATGATCAAGTTCAATATTGTCTCTGGTATTACTGAAAATCAGATGTCACATATCCATCAACTTCTTCGGGTGAATCCAATCTTTCTATAATAGTGATCTCTCCAAAAAAAGGAAATATAATATAAACTAGAAAAGGTACAATTTCTGGGGAAATTGTGTGAAGTGTTCTTGCATCCAACCGTAACCAAGTGATTGATGAAATGTAAGCAGTGCACATGGCCAGCTGATAGAGAAATGCATTTCAACTTGTATTTAGCCAATCACAGTCCAGCCTGGTGACTCAGCTGCCTGGTGAGTATCGTTGGTTGCTATAGCAAACTCACTCAGTCACAGCAAGCTTAGAGGGGCTTTTATAAACAAACTGCTCCAACTTGCCAACTTCCCTGGTGGTTGCCATCTTCAACATCTTCGGGGACGCTTCCCCCCCCCCCTTTCCAGTCCGGACGCTTCCCCCCCCCCCCCCCCCCCTCCAGTCCGGACGCTTTCCCCCCCCCCCCCTTCCAAGTTCCGGACCGCTTTCCCCCCCCCCCTTCCAGTCCCCGGACGCTTTTTCCCCCCCCCCCCCTTCCAGTCCGGACGCTTTTCCCCCCCCACTTTCCAGTCCCGACTTTCCCTCCCCACCCACCCATTACAGTCGCGCTTCCCCCCCCCCTTTCCAGTCCGGACGCTTCCCCCCCCCCCCTTTGCCTTCCAGTGTCGGACGCTTTCCCCCCCCCCCCTTCCAGTCCGGACGCTTTCCTCCCCCCCCTTCCCCCCCGCTTTCCCCCCCCCCCCCGGACACCACCCCCCCCCCCCCCCTATCCCCCCCCCCCCCGACCCAGTCGAACCTTCTCCTCCCCCCCCCCTTCCAGTCCGGAAAGCTTTCCTTCCCCCCCCCCCCCCCCACCCCCCCCCCCTTCCAGTCCGGAAGCCCCACCTCCCCCCCCCCCCCCCCCCCTCCTGTCCAGGGGCAATTTTCAGCTTTCAGCGCTATCACATTTTGAATGACAATTGCGCGCGGTCATGCAACACTGTACCCAAATGAAATTTTTTACCATTTTTTTGAGACAGGTAAAGCTTTATTTTGGTGGGTATTTATTCACCCCTCGGATTTGTATTTTTTTTGCTATGTAAATGAAATGTCCAAAAAATTTTAAAAAAAAAGTGTTTTTTTTTAATAAAATTTTGCAAATAATATTTCATCATAAATCTTGGCCAAAATTTATTCCGTTTTTATCTTTTTAGTAAAAAAAAAAAAAATCAAATTAGTTTATCCCCATAACCAAAAATTATAATTTTTAAACATTTTTTTTTTTTTACATTTTTATTTTATTTATATTATTTTTTATTTTTTTTTTACATACTGTCACCCTAGCAGCACAGTGTTACCATGGTGACACTGTACTACATGTGGGGGGTGATGAAGATTTTTTTTTTTTACACTGATTGCTTTTACACCCATATAGGATGTAAAAAGCAATCATTTCTCTTTCTCTCTGTGTGCATTCCTGCACTCATTGAGAAGTACTGAGTGAGCTGTGATTGGTCACAGCTTGTCACATGGTACACAGGCTTTTGTGAATAGCCTTAACCATGTACCATTACCACTGTGACCTCTGTGATCATTCACTAGATTTCACACGTAGTAAGCAATGATGTCACAAGTGACATCTTGCTTACTACTTTGCATGTGATCACTGACTGGCCAATCAGTGATCACATGATCGGGACCTCGTACAGAGGTCCCCGTCCGACAATCGGTGTGTTTCACTGTGTCCGGAGGACACAGCGGGCACCGGATCGCGGTGCTGCGCGCGCTCCCAGGCAGCGCGCACAAGCAGGGTGCGGGGAGGCCGTTTATAAACGGCCACCCGACCCCTGCAGTGCCACCGTCTGGCCGTTTATATTTGTAACGGCCGGTCGGGAAGTGGTTAAAAGTATAAATGAGACTCGCAAGACATTCTGATGTATAGTATGTCTCTGAAATATTAAAAATGAAGGCAAAGTCGCAGTTTAAAAATGCCCCTTAAAATTTGAGGTGGGCTAGAGTGGCGTTTCAATGAATGTCAATGGGCGGCCGTGAGTTGCAAACACAACATGGTCATAATTGTGAAAACTATCAGGACTATGGCTTAGCCGTGGACATTTTTAGTGGCAGCCGGGATTGCTGAACGTTTTGATATAAGATATGTGTAGGTGGGCTTGAAAATGATGGGAGAGATGGCAGTTTACAAATCATGTTCTGTTCTGATTTTTCAGCTCACACTCTAGCTTTTGTCGGCATCCCACTCTAAGTATTGAACATTCCGCATTCATATTTACATTTTCCCTATGGGACCAATTTCACCACAAAAAAAAGCGGCAATATTTCGTGAACCATTCGGGGAAACGTTCCACAAAGTGATAGCCCACCAATCGGGAAACAATCCGCACGTTTACGTATATTACTGTCTATGTAAGTGTAAACACTGTGGGAGGAGTTTATGGGGGGGTAAATTTGGCTATAATAATAGGAATGTATATGTGAGATAACAGGGAGGGGTCTGCCATGCAGGAAAAACACCTAAAAAAGAGAGGCAGGGAACAACGCTCAACTTCCAAGTGTTCTGGAATGGGGGCCTAGGCTCAGAGAAGTTTGTATTGCCCTTCGCAGTGTCACTTAGTGAGATCCTCACATCAGTATCATTGAACTTCCCCAGAGAGATCCTCATTGTCAGTATCACTGAATCTCCCCAAGGAGATCCTCCTATTGCATCACTCCTGTCAGTAATCACTGAATTTCCCTCAGAGAGATCCTCACATCAGTATCAATGAACTCCCCCAGAGGAATCCTCACCTCGGGTGGCACTGAAACGGCCCCCCCCTAGAGAGATCCTAACCATGGTTAGTCCATTGAGCTTTCCCAACCTCTCCACATCTACTCAGTACGCTCCGAGTCTTTATAAACCGCGTACCGAACTACCAAAATATCAACCTATGGAGAGTCAAATTTGAATTTAAACTTTAAAATCTTTCTTTTGGCTTTTTTATGTTCACTTCCAAAAATCTTTCTGGCTCTGATAAACCAACTAAAAAACACAAATCATTCAGATTTAATCAACCCTGAGGTGCAAAACCCATTTCCAGAATCCTTTGCAACGATATGCAAATGAGCAGGTTCAGCCAGTAAACATTCAAATCCTAACTGTCACCAGGGTGCCTATGAGAGCTCCCAACTGACTTTTCATGCCATAGCTGGACATGGGGAGCAGGACCACGGCAACTGCCACATAAAATGACACTTTTCTTACCTAGAAAGATCGGGGGGGGGGGGGGGGGAGGGAGGGAGGGGGGGATTCTGCTGTAACAATACTCATTACTAGAAAATCTACAATTTCTGGGGAAATTGTGTAAAGTGTTCTTGCCGCAACCTTTACCAAGTAATGATGACATGTAAGCAGTGCACATTGCAAGCCTGACAGAGGGAGAAAATGCATTTCAGCTTGTATTTACCATCTCACAGTCCAGCCTGTGTGACTCAGCTGCGTTGTGAGTCATGTTTGGTTGCTATAGCAACTCACTCTGTCAGGAATGTCATAGCTGTGCTCTAAACAGGCTTTTTAAACTTGGCAAGTTCA